AATATCTTTAAAAGTCACTGAGTCACAATTTGTCTAGATCCACCTTACTTTGGGATCAATGAATGACCGCTTCCTACTATGTGTTTTCCAGAATTTCCCAATTGTAAATTGTGGCGATTATGAGGCTCGCCTGATTTGTTTCTCATCTTTTACACGTCAAAGTCCAGCAGTTGGCATGGTACTAGCAGATGGCATGGTAACTAAGGCACTAGACTCCCACATGGCTGGCCACGATTCCAATCCCAGACCCAGTGGCTTGCTTTCTCGCTTTTTCTCTATTTCTTTCTCTCTCTGTGTCTCTCTCTGGTGAACACATGTGCCCTATAGCAAATTTTTTAAAAATAATAATAAGTAAAATTAAATAAATAATTCTTCTTAAAAAAAGATCACTCAATCAAGGTAATTCAGAGGAAGGAAAGAAGAAAAAGAGGGAAAAATAGAAATAATAAATGAAAAGCAATTGGCTAATGATAGACTTAAACATAAGTTTTTCAATAATCACATTATATGTAAAAAGCCAGTTATTATTTCTACTTATGATATAGATTCCACAGCAAATTTTTATTATTCTTGCTCCAAACAATTTTGTTTAAGTTTAAATAATGAGAAAAATATCTTATACATTTACTTATGTAGTTTCCATTTTCAGAACTATTCATTTTTTGCTTACATCCAGATTGCCATCTGGTGTCATTTCCCTTTTATATGAAGAATTTCCCTTAACATTTCCTGCAGCATGCTGAAAGTGTTTTAAGTCATTTTCTTATTTAAGAGCTTGTTCCACTATCTTCTGGTTTGCAGTATTTCTTACATAAAATCTGCTGTCATTCTTATCTTTTTTTCCTCTGCAGGTACTTTGTCTTTATGTCAGACCACTTTTAAGATGTTGTTCCTTATCATTGGTCTTGACCAAATTAGTAATTATGTACCTTGGTGTGGCTTTTATTTTTCTTGCTCTTGCATTTTAAACTTCTTAAATTACATTCAATTTAAAAATTATCAGCCATTATTTTTTCAAGTATTTTCCTTCACTCACTCCTTCTTGCCTTTCAAGGCTACAATAACATGCACATTTGTGTCAAGTAATCCTACAAACTCTCTGGTATTAATTTTTATAAATTGTTTTTCCTTTGCAAATTTCATTTTTGACACTCTAATGTATCATCATGTTTACTGATCTTTTCTTCAGCAGTATCTAGTCCACTGTTAGAACCTCATCTGTATATTTATCCTCTCTGATATTCTGGTTTTCATCTCTAGAGTTTGATTTGGGTGTTCTCTTATCTTCAATGTCTCTAACCCTTTTTAAATGTCTCTATTCAGTTATATATTTTATTTTAATATCCTCATCTGCTAATTCAAACATATGTGTCAGTTCTGGGTTGGTTTTGATTGGCCAATTATTCTACTTGTATGGATCATCATTTTCTACTTCTCTAAATTCTTGGTCATTTTCTATTTGATGCCAAGTTTAACCTTAAATTTTACCTTTTTGTGTGCTGAATATTCTTGTATTTCTGCAACTATTTTTGAGCTTTGGTCTGGATTGCAGTTAAATCACTTTGAAAAAGCTTCATCCCTTTATTCCATCTTTAAAAAGGGGACCAAAGTAGTATTTAATCTGGGACAAATTTTTTTCCAACACTGAGAAAAGACCTCCTTTAGTACCACACCCAATGTCTCAGGACTGGGTGGTAGGAATAGGTAAATATCCCAACCCTGAGTTAGTGCCAGTCAGTATTCCCCCTTGTTCTTCTTGGATGCGTATTCCTTCACGTGCATGTGCCAGTCAATATTCTGTGAATACATGAGAGTGCCTTCCACAGATATCCAGAGATCAGTCTCTCCACAACTCTCTCCTCCATAGTATTTTGTCATATGAACCATAACCATTGTATTCTCCTAGGACTCTAAGTTCTGTCTCAGCTCAAAGTGTCTATTGAACCTCACCTTAGCTCCCCTTCCTGGGCCATGGCTTGAAAATTTTCTTTGGGCATTAAACTGGGGCAATCATCATACTTACTTTACTTTTTTCACATCATATAGGGCTCACCATCTTTCATTGCATGATATCCAGTATCTTTTCTTTTCTTTCTTTCTTTTTTTCTTTTGGAGAGAGAGATGTTTCCTAGAGGGCATGTGTACTCACCAGAGCAGCAGAGAAACAGAAAGTGATAAAGCATCCTGCAGGGAGATGGCCATATCGCAATCCCTTCTCCATTCTCTTCTGGAATTTTAGGCATACACACACATGCGCCCCACATGAGTTTCAGTGCAACAAGGTCCAGGACTCAAACTGTAGTCAGCCGTGTGGGAGTCCATATACCACTACACCATCTGCTGGTCCCAGTGTCCAGTATCTCGAAAAAAAATTTTTTTCATAATTTTTTCTGTTTTTTTAGTTGTTTCTGAAGGAAAGGTAAATCCCGTTCTCAAGTTTCCATCTTGGCTAAAAGTTCATTAAATCAGGATGGACTACTTTGAGTGGTCATTCTAGTATCAGAGTTCCCCTGTAAAACTGGCTGGGAAATTTATTGCAATTACATCACAGTTCAAATGCTCACTCTGACTTGCCCTACTTCCCTCGCCCCTTTCATATGTTGTTCCCTAATAAATCACCTACACACAAAGCTCTGAGTCTTTTAGACCAATTCTCAGAAACTAAAATGTATGACAGTCATTTAGGTGAAAAATATTGACATCAGGATCTTCTTGTTTGATCCATTACACAACATTAGATTCATAGTTTTTTAGTTGGGAAGTTCAGCAACAATCTAATTTAGTCCCTTCATTTTATAGTATAGGAATTTGAGAGCTTAGAGACTAAGCGACTATCTCAAAGGCAGATAATTTTGTTCTCTTGAAAAATTTACCTGTACTGATTTCATAAAATCTAATTACTTAAGCCAATTTTTAGAAAGAAATATATACAGATAACTGAAATATTTTTGCTCACCTTCCATCAAGTATAGTTTTCAATCTGATAAAACTATTCTTAATATAGTTTCCACTTCAGTCAAAATTTTATCTGTCCACCTTCTCAATTATATGATTTCTTTATTATTATTATTTATACATTCAATAGCTATACATCATTTAGATTGTAAAGAGATTTTACCTAGCTCATTTTCCCCTCTTTTAATAGGGTAATCATTTTACCCAGCATTATATATACCTCAATCCAGTTGAGAATACTATATATATCCTCATCAACAGATAATAAACCACATCTGTGTCCCATAAATATCTTGCCTCTCTATTTTTTCCCCAATTTTCCTTTCCTGTGCTTTTACTTTCCCACACTCTCCTTCCACTTTTTCTCTAGTGTCCATAACAATGTTTAATGTTTTATGTCCTCCAGCCTTTCAATCTCTACCATAGAGTGTGAACAATTGGTATATGTTAAGTGGAGACATACAATGTCTTTTATAGCCTGACTTGCTTCACTCAGCAGCAAATCTTCCATATTGATCCGCTTTCTATCAAATTCCAGGGCCTTGATGTTTTTCATGGCTGAATAATATTCCATGGAGTATATGTGCCACACTTTTTCAATCCATTCATCCATTTGTGGACATTTGGGTTGGTTCCATGTCTTAGAAATTGTGAATAATCCTGCAATAAATATAGTTGTGCAAACACCTTTCTGACTGAGCATTTTACTGTCATTTGGGTAGATACCCAGGAGTGGAACTGCTGGATCATATGGTAGTTCTATTTGAAGGTCTTTGAGGAACCTCCATATTGTTCTCCACAGTGGCTGGACCAATTTACATTCCCACCAACAATGTAGGAGTGTTTCCCTTTCACTACATCCCCTCCACACTTACCACTTTTTTTCTCTTAATCTTCACCATTCTTACTGGGGTTAGGTGGTATCTCATTGTGGTTTTGGTCTGCATCTCCCTTGTGATGAGGAATGTTGAGCATTTTTTCATTATGCTTTTTGACTGTATGTCTTCCTTAGAGAATTGTTTTATCAGCTCATTTTCCCATTTTTTAATTGGGTTAATAATTTTCTTCCTGGTAAGCTGCTTGAGTTCCCTGTGTAATCTGGTTATCAGTCCCTTATCTGAGGCACAGTTAACAAAAATTCTCTCCCATTTTGAGGATTGTCAATTCGCACTAATTACTGTGCCCTTTGCTGTGCAGAAACTTCTTAATCTGATGTAATATCACCTGTCTACTTTGGGGATTATTGCCTGTGCTTGGGGGTCTTACTTAAGAAGTCTTAGCCTATCCCAATGTCTCCCAGAGTTTCCCCAGTGTTTTCCACCAGTAGTTTTATAGTTTGTGGTCTTAGGTTTAGATCTTTGATCCACTTTGAGTTGATTTTTGTTAATGGTGACAGATAGGGTTTCAGATTCATCTTTGTGCAGGTGGATACCCAGGTTTTCCAGCACCATTTATTAAAGAGGCTTTCTTTTTTCCACTGGATTGACTAACACCCTTTGTCAAAGATGAGTTGGTTATATGTTTTGGGGCTTATTTCTGGGGTCTCTACTCTGTTCCATTGGTCCTCATGTCTGGTTTTGGGCCAACACCATGTTGTTTTGATTATCACAGCTTTGTAATATATTTTGGGGGAAAGGAAGTGAGATCCCACCTA